TGTTGTTTGCAACCATAAATCATGACTAACACAGTGACCAAGCCATTGAGAGCTGAAGGGGGCCAGGTGGCTGCCGCATTCCTTGCCAAAGACTCAGCTGAGAGATGACTGTGTTTCAGACACAGACTCAGGATAATTCAGATTCTGGCCTGGGGATGTTACAATGGAGTGCAGAATATGCTCCCGAATACTTGCCAAATTGTGTGCAATTTCCCTGGAAAAGTAAAATAATAATTTAGTTCCTTTAACAGGCTTGTAGAGACTCATTAAGGAGAGACCAATGAGAAACAAATTAGGAAGCACAATGCGCGGGATGTGGTTGACAAAGATGGAAGCTGCACCTGCACCTTGGCCTTGTTTGACCGCCTGGTGGGCTGTGCACTGTGGGCCTGGGCCATGGCCTCGGCAGGCATGAAGTAAGGGATGGAGACCCCTCTCCAGCAGGGCTCCCCGTCCTGGGAGCCTTCTCTGGGTCTTCTCTCATGCCTGTGTGGAGATCATCGTTCTGGGGCACCCAGGCTCTGGCAGGTCCTCCAGCCAGGGCCCCTGATTGGCTGCTGACCCTGACATGACACTCAGCTGCATCGCACCAGCCTGGTGACCCTGTAAAGAATGCTAAACTCAGTCTCTTTCCTGGAGGATCAAGGACAGTAGGAGCCTGTAATGTGCTTCTCAATGCCTCTATCCTACCTCCCCTTCCTGGCTGGAGTTCCAGGAGGGCAGAGCCAAGTCCTTACAGTTCTTTGGATACTGTGCACACAGGAGAACTCAGTAAATGTCCCTCAGCAGTGATGGGCTTGGCTCATCTCCTCCTCTTTGCTAGCTCTTAATCCCATATTGCCACATTGCTAGACAGGCGGATACAGGTGGAAAAATACATGTGAAGTCAGAATGTTGCTTTCAATCTGAAGTTCTGGGGTTGAGGTGAGAGGGAGAGGAGGACTTTGCATGTGAGTGGGTGAGTCTCACCTTTTTTCATTTTAGAGGCCCAATTCCTGACTTTTACCCTGATACACCTATCAGCTGCTGTCCACTTCATGGTCTGTACGTTGATGATGGGCTTGGAGGATTCTGGTACAACTTTTCATCCAACTTTGGAGTCTCTTTGCTTGCTGTACTCCAGATTGCCATTTGAAGCATAAATCAGCTCAGATAGATCCACTGTTGAGAACTCCTCCCAAGGCCTCTTGTCTCACCGGGACTCTTCACCATGGCTTTTCATAAATGCCTGTGCAAGCTGCCTCTGTACTTCTGTGTTGCCATTTCTCACCTCTCACCTCCTTGCTCATGACTCTCCAGCCACACTGACCTTCTTCCTACCCTTCAAACACTTCAGACTTCAGGACCTTTGCACTTGCTGTTCTTTTTGCCTGAAACACCATCCTCAGGCCATCTCACATCTTATTGCTTCTCTTTGTCACTCAGGTCTCCACTCAAATGTCACTTCCTATCTAAGTTAGCCATCCCTTCCTCTAATGAGAGTTTATTCCTTTGCTAAGTTTAATTTCATTTACAATGCTTATACTTTCCTAAAATTATTTTATTTCTTTTTTTGTATACTTAAAACCATGCCTGGTGCATAGCTGTTGCTTGGTAAAGTTTTGTTGAATAAATGAATGAAGGGAAGAACTGGTGGGAAATGTTTGTAATGTTTATAAGCATATTTTAAGAAAATAATGTGTCTTGCATGCCACTTCTAATATTTATGTTAGCTTACTAAAATACTATAATTTAAATTTCCTATAGAATAAAAATGCTTAGTATAGGACAAATTGAGTAATTCATTGTTTAAAACAAATGAACAAATTCATTATTGAATGAACGAATGAATAAAAGTTGATGTTTCAGGAAAATGTACCATTTTATGTGGCATCTGTACCTTCTGGCACAAGGGCAGGTACACAGATCCAAGGAAAACACAGTCCTGTGAACTTGAAGGGAACATGCTGCTCTGTTGGGTCCTCTCCTCCTTATGGAACAGAAGAATTTCCCAAGTCACAGATTACTCCCCAAAGTCCAAAGAAGGAAGCCTTTCAGATAGTTTTCTTCTTGGGATTTTACACCTCTCTGTGAGTTCACAGAGCTGAGAACTAGGGTCACAATCATTATTGCTATTGGCCCAGACTTCCCACAGAATAGAGGCAACAGTTTGTTCCACCCCTGAGAGAGCATTTCACAGCTGATCCCTCCCCACCTCCCTGGGTTAGCAGGTCTGAAGGGGGTCCCTCCGTGGTCTCCGCCCCAGTGGTTTTCTAGTCAGCTCTTCATCCCCCACACTAAATGAGTCACATTTTAAATCACTTTTAAGAAAATTATACCTCTCGGGCTGATCCCCCCCTTTACCAAGCATCCTTTGGGCAGTCCCTCCTCTCCTGGGTGTGTGCTCAAGAAATCTCTCTATCCAGATTGCTGGCACAGAGTTAAACAGAACCAGGTAGAGAAAATGCTGGAAAAGAAAAATCACAGCTTGTGTCCTCAATCAACTGGAAATGTCCCCAGTCCTTTTAGTTAAATGCAGTCTTCTTCAACTTATAAATTCTGGCTTATAGATTTTTGTAACTTCTTGGGGGACAGTTTTCCTGGGGTCCCTTATATTTTTGCATATCTTGTAAGCAGAGACAATGATAGTCTTAGTTCTGGGTGAGTTTTCAAGGATGTTTGTATAGCAAACAACCTTGATGGATACAGAAAGTGTCTCCCTCTGGGACACAAGGCAGATTTGTTTTCTGACCAGTATAATCATGTCCTTATTCAGGGCAAAGGTTGGACAGGTTTCCCAGCAGTCCCCTTATAGCATTGGGGGTTTCCTAAAGTACCAGCCTCCTGAGCTGTGACAACGACCCACTGCATGCTCACCAACTGCCTCAGTTGCTCCCATCACCCCTGAACCTGGGAGCCTAAGGAACTGATGTGCACACGAAGCTCATGTACTGCAGGTGATCAAGTCCTTTGTCTCTAAACCAGCAGTCTCATGTCTTCTGCCTACATCCATGGAACTGTGACAGCTAACTTGTTATCTGACAGTGGGGTAGAATCACAGAGCCTTTCTTTACACTCCTCTGACCTGTACCCTGTAACTTAACTGTAAGTATGTGTCACTAATATACATCGTACAGTAAACCGTACCAACTTTCAAGTAAATGTGTCTTATCTCTGCAAGAGCAGGCAAGTTGCACTATCCTAATTATCTGATAAATATGTGGCACATCACAAGTGCCCTGTGACTCCTTGCTGGCAGTTCCTCTTCAGAAGGCCTGTAGCTGAGGATGGGCCTCCCCCCGCCCATAAGATCCACCCCTGAATGTTGACTCCCTACTGGGGTGATGGGTCTCCTAGTTTCTAGGAGGTCTCCAAATTTAACCTTAAGCTTCCACTACTTGGTGTCATTTTCCCACCACCTGGTGAGGCAGGTGGTGCCAGCAAGAATGGCAAAAGAGGTTATGGGTTTGATTCTTTGTCAGGGCACATACCTGGGTTGTGTGTTCAATCCCTAGTCAGGGCCATGTATGGGAGGCAACCTATAGATGTTTCTCTCTCTCTGTCTCTCTCTCTCACCCACCCTCTCTCTCTCTTCCTCTTTATCCAAAATCAATAAACATCCTTGAGTCAGGATTAAAAAAACTTTTTTTTAGCCCTAGCCAGGTGATTCAGTTGGTTGACATGCTGTCCCATACACAAAAAGAATGGTAGGAAGGGAGCTGCTAGTAGAAGCAGCACCACCCCCACCCCCGACCCCCATGAATTGACAGGGAGGCCAGGGTGTGAGCCAGTGAGGTGAGTGCTCAGATATGATGTGCTGGAGGGAAAACATCCAACCCCAGCCCCAAACTAACAGCTAACTGTCCATGTGTCTAGGAGTCCACTCTGCCAGAGCAACAGAAGCTCCTTGCCCTGCGAATAAGGGATCTGGTACCCAGGCCAAGTCTGGATCAATTTGAGGCTGTCCCTCAGCAGGAGACAGGGCTGCAGTGAAACAGCAATGAACCAACACAGGAAACCACCAAACCCATCTCTGAATCAAAATTTGGCAGCTTCTCGTTCTCCTTTTCATTGCATTACACTCTACGATGCTACAGATAGAAGATGCAATAATCATGATTTTATTTTAATAAACTACAGCCCCCCACCAAAAAAAAAAACCCCTACTCCCAAATGTAGCTCATGCAAACAAGGAAAACCAGGCTGGTGGAAGAATGGGCCTCGAGCCTGGAACCAGTTGCTGAGTGTGGGTATTTGCTCTGCCACCTGTGAACAGAGGTGGCCCCGTTTTCTCACTTGTAAAAAGGGGATCCCTACAATGACACTCTTCGCTGTGTATGCGAGAGCACTCGGACCATTGGGGTGCATGAGTAGGCATGCTGCAGGGAGCTCAGGGGAAGTAGAGGGAGGGGGCGTTACCCCTCGGGGGCGGCCAGGAGACACTAATGAGGTCCCCTCCTGAAAATCCTTCCCCCAAAATGACAGCCATGATGCTTCCTGGCTCTGAGTCACGATAACATTAACAGTAAGAGCTGTGATTTAATAGTCATGAATCATGAGCCAGATGTCGCACACATGTATGATATTTCTAATCTTGAATCATTCTGATATTAATAATATTTACAATTCTGACTTATTCTAACATTTCAAATGAAGAAACCAGTTCTCAAGAAACTTGCAATGTACGGCCATGGTCCGTCAGTGAGCTTAGTGCTAGGTGTCACACCAGGTATGTGTGATGGCATGGTGATGGCTGCCGGAGAGGGGGAGCCTCCATGGCAGGACGCAGGTCTTCTCCTTGGCAGATGCGCGTTTCATGTTGGCACCACAGTCCATTAAAATGGAAAGTCTTTTCCATGCGTGTCCATTGAATCCTTACAACTGTCCTGTGAGATCGTTCTATTATTTGCATGTCCCAGTAGAATGTAGCGTGGCTTACGGAGCCCTGTGGCAGCGCCAGAGTCTGCAGGCAGATGAGGAGGGCCTCCACCCCGTGGGGGCGCCAATGTGCAAGGTACTCGATGGCGCTCCTGCCTCGTGTAGACGGGGCTGTGGATGCTGGTGGGGTAGCCAGGGCCCTGGGAAAGACTGGCCCTGACTCTGTGACCTTTCAGAGGATAAGCTTTTGGTGGCAAAACATGCCTCTGATGTAAAAATGTAAGGAAAGACGATAAACTGCATTAATAGTTCCAGAAAGGCTTTGTTTAATCACAGCCCCAGCCAGATGAAGGGTTTGATACAGGAGTCAGAACCTTTTCTGGTGCCTCAGGAAGCAAGCAGTAAAAGATAGAATAGCAGCTGTAAATAAAATACATTTTAATTTACTTTATATTCACCCAACTGGGTCTTGAGACTGACTGGAGGAGAAACGCCCCATCCATATCAAGGATTCAGGTGTGTAAGTGCAGAGTTTAATCAGCCAGAATCTCAGTTTCTATTCTGCTCATCAGAAAGGTTGAAATGGAGAGGACAGGTGACGTCTCACAGGCCTGGTTTTAATTCTGGATGTTCAAATTGCTACCTGTTGTGGCAAATGGTAAGTACTTGCTCTATTTATTTTATGTTCCCTGCAGATATGTAGGAGAATTAAATGAAATGCAAGTACCTGGCCTCCCTCGGTGTGAAGTAAGCATTTAACTAACCTCCGCTGTTGTTCCAGCAGAGAAAACTCCTGGGCTCAACCTTTTCTACTGTCCACATGCTGAGCAGCTTGCAGTGCAGTTCTGGGCTTCTAAAAAGAGATCCAAAACGTGGGGGGAATGCCCTGGGACTCTAAGAAAAACTTACTCATCTTCAGTAATTTGGTAATACATATTTTATTTTCATCATTTAAAAACTTAAAGATTCACAAATAAGCACGTACAAAGATGCCCAAATTCATTCACCATTAGGGAAATGCAAATTAAAATCACAATGAGATATCAGCACACACCTCTCAGGATGCCTAAAATAAAAAATAATGGTAACACCCAGTGCTGACAAAGATGCAGAGAAACAGAATCACTCATACATTGCCAGCAGGGATGTGAAATGCTAGTCTCCTAGAAAACAGTTTGGCAGTTTGTCTTAAAACTTAAAATGGACTAACTATATGAACCAACAATTGTACTCTTGGGCATTTATCTCAGAGACATGAAAACTTACGTAACAAGTAACATGCACTCAAATATTTGTAGTAGCTTTCTTCATAATAGCTGAAAACTTAGAAACTACCCATATGCTCTTCAATGATTAAATTAACTGAGGTCCATCTGTACCACAGAATACCACACAACAATAAAAAACAGTGTGCTATTGATACACACTACCTGGATGAATCTCATGGCAATTACGCTGAGTGAAAACAGCCAATCTCAACCATTATATATCATGTGATTCCATTTGTGTAACACTCTTGAAATAATAAAACTACACAGATGGAGAACAGATTATTGGTTGCCAGGGATTAGAGATGGACGGAGAAGAGAATTGTTATAAAGGGGCCACACAGGGGCCTTGCAGTGATTGATAGTCCTTTATCTTGATTGCGGTGGTGGTTACATTAAGCTACACACATGTTAAAGTTACAGGAACTGCGTGTGCGCGCGCGCACACACACACACACAATTGATAAAATCTGAAGAAACTCTTGATTGTACCAATGTCAATTTCCTGGTTTTTATCTTGTGACATAGGTGTGCAAGATGTTAAAGTTTGGGAGAGGCTGGGGGAATGGACATAGGATTTCCCTATACATTTTTTTTTCAATTTCTTGTGAATCTATGAATATGTTGGAAATCAAGGAAGTGCTAAAAAATACTTTGATGGCAGTATGTCAAAGAGACACAGAAACCAACAAAAAGAGTTCTCAATGTTCAAAGCTGGAACAATTTAGGCAACAAAATAGTGTTGGATTTTGACCCAATGTATAAAATAAATATCCATAAGGTCATATTAACATAAATAAATGAATGGAAAATAAATAACGGGGGTGGGGGGGAGAAGAGGCAAATCTTTCTTGAAGTCCATAGTGTTAATCAGAGGAGGTGCCCATTATTCTGATATATGAAGCCAAATTATCCAAGATTGCTATTTGTGGAAATTTGCCAACCCTGATGAAATCTTAAAAAATCATTATGTCATAATACTTTTAAGTAGCCCCCAACCTGTGTGTTAGCTTAACTTATATTTACTAATATTTTTGTTTTTATTTATTGCTATGTTTCCTCCTTCAATCTTAGCGATTGAAGAGCTACATGGCCCCATGTAACACAAATAGAGGGACATGCTCTCCTGTCTCTGTGTGAGGCTGGCCAGGCCTGTGGGGCCATAATGTCTCTCTGCTTTTTTCCTAAAGATGTCACCACTGTTCTGCTACAGTCCTCTGTTTACCTGTAAAGCAAAGAAGAAGCAGTCATTCCCCTTCCCCTGCCAAACACACATACAAACACATGAGGCTTCTGGGGCAGAATTGTCCTCCCACTGAATACTCTTGTCAAGCTGGAAGGAAGAAGCTGGTGGATGGATCATTGGCCCCACCTCTCCCCACATTTTTCTGTGGGAAATTTGATGTACCTGGGATTGAACAAGTTTCACTGACAGATTGAACAAATTCTGCAGGTGTTAAGCACAGCTTGTTAATGTTGTGAGGAAGTAAGTGTCTCACCATGGTGCTGGGGATTCAGTGAAAGGTACCAGGAACCTTAGTGGCAGAGGACATCAGCTCCTGCACTATACTGTCCCTCTGGGTTCCTGCACTTCCCAGAATGGGATGTACCAGGGGTTCCATGGAGAGAACACAGCCTGCTCTCAACTGGCTCACCACTTGGAGTGTGGCTGAATTGCACTCTTTCCAAAGATCTGATGTCCTCAGTTTGTCACCACCCAACATTGGGACATCTGTTAGGGAAAGTTTTGTGATCATTCAGCTCAGAGACGTCAAATTTGTATAACCCAGATGTGATTGCTGTAGGCTTGGTCACCAATTTCTGATGCATCCATTCATTGACCTATTCATCTAACAAGTAATTATTGAGCATTTACTATGTGCTTCTTAGGTACTCGAGCTTTACCAACACTTAAGAGACACTGTTTAGGTCTCCGAGAACTTGGTGGCTCAGTTGGTTGCAGCTACTATGACAGAATTCATTTTTTAAGGAAATCCTCCCCTGAGGACATGCTTATTGATTTTAGTGAGAAGGGAAGAGAGGTAGAGAGAGGTGGAGAAAAACATCGATGTGAGAGAGAAACATCAATTGGCTGCCTCTCACACATGCCCCAACCAGGGACCAAACTTGCAACCCAGGCATGTGCCCAAACTGGGAGTCGAACCCATGAACTTTGGGTCCACAGGAAGATGCTCCAATCAACTGAACCACACCATTCAAGGAACAGATATCATTTTGATTGACACATGGTACACAGCACACAGCTTAGGGTAGAAGAACCACCTCTGGCTGCTTTCCTCAAAGGAGGTGTGGGCAAGTCAGGGATTTCAGGCTCCTGCTCAGCTCACCTACACACTAGCAAGGAGAGCTCCCTGCTCTTCTCTCCACCCACTCCTGGAAACCAAGGTGCAGCAGTGATGCAAGAGTTGGTGAGGTGGAACTTTGGACTCAGAAAACATTGTTAGAAATCCCAGCTCCCCCTTTCTATCAGTATGCCCTTATACAAGGTGCCTAGCCTCTCTAAGCTTCAGTTTCCGTATCTGAAAAATGAGGGTGAAACTATAGCTGCCTCATAATGTTGCAGATTAAGTGAGTTAGTAATAAAGGCACTAGCTGATAGTATACATATTAGCTCCTATTCCTACAGTCAAATGAGCAAATGCCCAGTGCTCTCCTTCTGCTGGATATGAGCTGTGGTAACTGGACAGGTGATGTCCAGGGAACCAGGCAGGATAGGGTGGCGCTGAAGGCGCCTGAGCAGCAATCCTTCCGCAAGACAGTGGAGGGTCTGCCTGCCCTGGGCCCTTTCTTACAGGCTGCTTGATGCTCCCAGGAAACCAGCAGCCCAGGAGCCTTTCATAAGGATGACAACCTCAGAGAAAGAAGAATGTTCAGACCGCAGGAGAAAATGCAGGTATCCTTTCACCCTCCTTCCCCCATTTCAAACAACTGCCAGGAGTGATGTTTACATGGAGATGTGCAGCAACCAGCAATCAAGACCTTGGCGGTTATGTTTTTAGAAGAGAACACTGATTTAATGAGCAGATAATGTGTTAATATTTGGATTTTATTTCTGGATACAAAAATGAAAATAATCAGATTAGCATTTGATAGTGTGGGCACAAATAACTCATTTTTATCCTATGGAAACACACACTCCACATGTGAAATTAAGACAATTTCCAACCCATTTTGCTGCCTTTACTGGTGAGAGGGCTCTTTGCGGCCACACCGCAGCAGTCTCGGATCCTACTTTCACACCACGACAGAATGACCTTGCACCTGTGGGTCATTGGAAGCCAGAGGATGGCTGCAATGCATTTGGTTTTGCTTCCAGAGCTGTGACATGCTGGTGAGTTTGCATTCCTCTGGTCATCTCTGTGCCGGGGCCCTTGGCCCTTGACTTGGGGCAATGTCCCAAGGACATTCACAGGGGCAGCCACCTTTCTGTCCTCCTCACTCTCTGCTGGCCTTAGCAGGCAGTGCCACATTTCCTAACAGACGTCTCTGTCCACAGCACTCACCACGGCCCAGCACACTGGAGACGGAAGTGGCAACATCCATGTCAGGGACCTCAGCAGAGAAGGGAAAGGACAGGAGGAGAGCCGAGAGCACACAGATTTCAGAAGAATCGGTCTCTTTCTGCCAGTTCTTCCCCTTCTGCACTGTTCCTGCAGCTGGCAAGCACAAAAGCACAGTGTGTGAAATTCAAATCTGTTTCTGCATCTTCAGATCAAGCCTAGGAAGCCAGCAGATGAAAGAAAGCTCTTTGGAGATCCCAGGCCAGGCTGAGGAGGAGAGGCAGAGTCACAGCATTGTTAGGCTTGGGTTCTCTCTGCAGGAAGCTCAGCAGCCAGACTTGTCCTCAGACAAATGAGTGACTTTGGGGCCCACTCCCTGCTGTGTGCACCATAC